TCTCTGACCACCGCGTGACGGACTGCCTGTTCCCCGGCCATGGGAAGGAGATGGATGAAGTGATGCAGAGCTTCCCGTTGATGGTGGGGATAATTTGCAGTGGACTGTTTCTCGTCTTCCCCAACACTAGATATGGTGTTGGTTGCTTGTCCGCCTAATCATATGATGCAATAATAATAATAATATGCCTAATTGTTTCTAGTGTTTCTGGTACGCGTAAAACTGTTTCTAATTGTATTTTGTGGCTTCATCAGTATGTATAACAATGTATTAATGTGACAATTCATTATTAGATATCAAGTCATTCACCATTATTTCTCCAAGTGTGGAAAATTATCACTCAAGTCTTAACCAAATGAAAGTTAAAATCAAATCAATATGCAAATCACAAAAGCTGTTCACACCTCTAAAATAGAGTCTAAAGCTAGTAGTTTCATAATAAATACGAATCGAGAAAAAAAAGAGCAGGTTTAGATCACATAGATAGATCTTGTCGAGTTATCGTACCTTGAAACATTGGTCTTACATCTTCAAATCTGTAGTCCAGGTGCCTTGGACACTTGGGTGTTTGGTGACATGTCTAGTCTTCATCTTCACCACCTTTCTCCCCAGTGAATTCCTTAGCCTTGTTGCTTGTAACAGAATTTCTTCCGGGGTCAAGTTTTTAACCGAGACAACACGCTCATTCTTGTTTTCTGATCATCCAAGAAAACCCGTATGAGTTTTAGTGGCTTCACGTTAGTTTTACAACTCTTGAAGGTTTTCAGATGCCAATGCATAAGCTCTTTGTGCATATATTCTTGTTTTCAAAGGCCAGCATATTTCAGAAAGACACCTTCTCAACCTGCCCTTAGAGTGGTTGTATATATATCTTGTCTAATGCATTTTTCATGGACACAAGCTAACATTCTGCAAAATATGCTCAAAGAGGTGCTGATATACAGTAAAAAAAAACATACGGAGTATTCTTTTAAGGTGGTGTGTTTGGGAACTTGGATTTGGGTTTCAAATTCAGAATTGACTCAAATTTCATATTTGGGAAACTTAAAAATTTTGGATTTGAGTCAAATTCCTACCCTTTTCATTTGAAGTTCAAGAATTCAAATTTTGGAATTGAAATGAAATGTCAATTCCCAAACACTGCCTTATATATTTATACTTGTGGATAATTTCTTACAAATACTCCCCGGAAATTTGAGATTTTATATGAATACTCAAAGATCACACGATTATCACTCAGTTTCTCATAAAATCAATATTTTTACAATATTGCTCAGAGATTGCATTTTAGTCACTCAGGAATGTCTTACTGTATAATCCCTTCAAGTATGGATGTTGCCCGCGATTCAGCTCGGTTACCACTTCCAGGTGAGGATTGATGTCCTTGAATGCTGGCAGATGAGACTCCATAAATGCCCTAATACATTGATAATCCATTCGGTTAATAGCCCTAGAAATGGAATTCAACTTTGAAATTGGGAACAATAATTCCAATTCTGGTGTTTGGTGGCACAAAAATATATTAACTTAGAATTGGTAGTGCTAAAAATGAATTCCAATTCTGGTGTTTGCTGGCAGATGAGACTCCATAAATGCCCTAATACATTGATAATCCATTCGGTTAATAGCCCTAGAAATGGAATTCAACTTTGAAATTGGAATTGGGAACAATAATTCCAATTCTGGTGTTTGGCGGCACAAAAATATATTAACTTAGAATTGGTAGTGCTAAAAATGAATTGGAATGGGAGAATCTAATTCATCCAAATAAATTTCATAGAATTTTGACTCTCAATTCAATTCCTCAATTGTGTGTTCCAAATGGACAGTCAGTGACACTTTAATTAAATTCCATAGGAATTACAAAGTAAGTACAAACCTTAAACCCCTGCTACTGCCTCCCCAATCAGAATAGCTAACCACCAGCTTCTGAAGTTGCCAAACACCTCTTAATGCCATCTGACCAGATCAAATTTACACAGATCAAAAGAGGAAGAAGACTTCATTAATACACAACGAACAGTTGAAGGCACGAGGTTAAGTCAGTGGCAACAGTCAAGAAAATGGGAAGCAGCTCCTTATCAACAATAAATGTATGATAGTAACCCTATATATAGTTTTTGGGAGTTCACAAGGTCTTGCAAGAAAGTAACAAATGTGCTGACTATTAAACTAAAATTCTTCTTGAGCGTCCGCCAAATAGCATTTTTTCTGTTGAGCAGTAATTATTTAGTTATAATATCCTAGCATGTTGTTTTGGCTTTGGCATCTAGTGGCATGTTTGTTAACCGTGACTCCATATTATCTTTTTAATCCCTTAACTACATGAAGTGCAACTCCTGACCCCACTCCCCACAAAAGTAACCATATTCCCAATGTGATAATAGCAAAATTGCTATCTACTCCAAGGCATGGTAAAAAAACTAGAGCTAGCAATGAGTATACCAGTTTCTGGTCCGATTTTTCAGGTTCAGATTACGTTTATGTCGGTTTTGAAACATGGAACCAAATAGAAATTGAAAGCATTCACTTGAAGATCAGTTTTGTTACAGTTTGATTAGGGTTGCAGAACTGGAAAAGGATTAACTCCAATTCAGCCTGATTTTGGTTTGTAATCACGTTTTGTGCTGTTTAATCAGTACGTTCCATGCAACACACGTGTTATTTTACCATGAATAACTAGTCAAACAAGTAAAATAAAAATATACTCCCGTACAAAGGTTCCACATTCCTTTTCTGCCTATCCAAAAAAATCCACTTCGCATTTATGCAAAGTTTTCTGTGTCTAATACTCCCTCAGTCTCAAAACTATCATCCTAGTTGGACTTTTTTAGGTCACTTTAACCACAAATTGCAAAAAAATATACTCCGTATTTAATTATAACATAAATTTCATATAATTGAGTTTATATAAAGACGCAGTTTAGAAATATAAAATTTTTAAAACATTCATTTTCGAAAACACAAATTCAACCTTCTCAATAACCGTGCTAATTCAATTATGGGACCTTTTTTGTGCGACTGCGGTAGCAAAATACGCGAATCTAAGGTAAATGTTCAAAAAATGCATTAGCAAGCATACAATCCTCCTTTAGAAGGGAGATCAAGCAACAAATTCCAATTAAGATTGTACGGGGTATCAATCATGAGAAAAGCTAATAGATAATCGCTGGAAACAAATAAAGGTCGGGACACAGCGAACCTGAGGAGAAATCGGCCGTCGGTGGTGTTGGCGGGCGGCGGCTAGAAGCCGAAGGTGCGGACCCTGGAGTGAAGCTTCTTTTCCCGGCAATGGCGAGATGCCGTGGACGACGGGGTTTTGGATTAGAAGATGTAGGCGATCCGGGCCGGGTATATTCACAAAAATATTCTCTCCATTCTAAAATTCTCAATTCCCTTTCTTTCCGTCCTAAAAATTCCTTCACAAACTTCCATTCCCTATTTGCATTTACATCTCTCATTTACGCAGTTATCTCTTCTTCTTCTTTGTTTTTCCCCTCCTCTATCTAAACCCTATATTAATATACTTGAGTTATTTTATTAAGTTAAAAAATAAAATTTACATATTAAAAAAAATAAAAAAAATTTTTATAAATGAAGAGGTGATTTTATTTTTTTCAAATAAGTTGTCTAATATTAAAAAACACTCAAATGAAATATTTGCATGATAAATCTTTTGTAATAGTATCAATTATATTTTTAAGACTAAAAGGAATCTTTACACAATCTTTTTTTTTTATTATGAAATATTATACTCGTAAATAATTAAGTGAACTTGTAACAAAAATCATCTTAATTTTTAAAGTTATGAACTTAACTAAATATCTAAGAGATTAGGAGTTCAAACCCCCTATGCTTTTGGAAAAAATCACAAAAATTCACAAAAAAACTGGTTTGACCGGTTCTTACCGTTTCAGACCGGTTCGAAGCAGATAACGGTCCGAACCGGCCAGTCAGGTTTGGTTTTTAAAATTATGATCGAAAGTGATGCAGAAGAAAGAAAAAAATGTGAGCCACAAAAAACTTACCAAAAAAGGAAAGAAAAAATTAATTTCAGACAACTCAAAAATGAAATAAGAAGTACTCCCTCTGTCCTTAAATGATCTTCTCAATTACTATTCTTATGGTCAAACTTTAATCTTTTTTTTATCTATTTTTGTTACTTATTTTATAAAATAATATAGTCATGTCACCTCTTGTTTTGTAGAATTTTTTATGTAGTTTTAAAATACATAACTTTTATTTTTAAATTTTACACTTATAATCAAATAAATTGAATTAAAAATAATTTCAGTCAAACCTCCTAAACCAAGATAGGAAGATCATCTTAGGACCGAATTTGGAAGAGAGGGTTATTTAGGTAAAACATTCAAACAGAAACATGTGTCCAACAAAGAAACAAGTTGTGCAACATTAAGAGAGAGCCGTTTTCCATTTCATTTATGAAATATCCATAAAATGAAGGAAAAAATAACCCAAGAATAAAGATTAACACATGCATAGGCATTGTTTGGCAGAACATAATAACATGCATTGTGATCCAACATATTTTTAGTGTAAATGTACATTACACATACATTTGGTTATGTCTTACCAAACTAGAGACCATAATCTATACTGTCCATTCTTGAACAGAAGCTAAACAGCTTTCAGAATGCACTCAATTGGCTGAAATGACTGTTTTTAAGGGGGGGGGGGCGTTTCGTAACATTCATTTCAACCAAAAGCTACCGCGAGCAGGAGTCGAGGATATAATCTCACGTCGAACAACCTGGGTAAAAAAGACTAATATATTAGAATACGAGTTACTCTTATCATTGTCAAATGGGGTTGGGTTGGAATCTCATAATTCTACGACATGGTTTCCACGAACGCCTATGGATTGGTCAGGGCTTCAAGAACCGGTTCACTCTCCTCGTTTGCTCGTTCCATTCTATACGATTTACAGCTGAAGTAGAAAACGGTACTCATCATAGAATCAATTAGCAAAACAAAGGAGTAGATGATCACCAAAAGAGGCCCTTCCCATACCCGAGATGATCCATCCCCGTAGCTCAAAGACTTCACTCTATGCTCAAAGAGACCCTCCGCAAATGCCATCCCAATCGTCGACCCTAGAAATATAAGGAGGCCGACTTGGGTCTGCCCCTTGATGAGTGAGCTGGACCGGAGCAACGCCTGTGGGCCCGACACATCCTCCAAAACAGAAATCACAACTGCGACACTGCAAATAATCGTGCAATTTGCCAAGATTATTGAGAAGATCATCCCAACGATCATCGCAGGGTACAAGATCAAGTCCGAGGGGAACCCCATGATAGAGAAAGTGGTGCAAACTGATACAAGAAGTACGAGGAAGAGAGTGAGGCATCCAGAAACCAAACAACATGCCCACAAGTACGTCACGACAATCTTCTTCCAAATCTTGGTGATTATCACATAAAACTTCAAAGGGTTGAACTTTCTTTTCGAATAAGTGCAATCCACAGAATAAACAATTGCAGCTTTTGACAATAGCAGTAAAGAAACGTACATGGGGAAACAAACTGAGCTCGAAACCACCATTTCCGAAAACTTCTGAACTGACTGTCTCACAAAAGGCCTTAGAGAAAGGCCGCTAGACTTAGCAATGAGCAAAAGCCTCACTGTCAGAAGTTTCACAACGGACTGATCGACCAATACATTCGACAAAGCAACAGCAGACACAGGACAAATCAATACGGACGCAATCGACAAAAAGCCTACAGAATTGTACCTGAGAACCCACACGGTTTCCCTCAGGATTTCAAGCGCATTCATGGGATGGAAACCGTGATCCGACAGCGACCCATTGCCAGTTAGCTCAATCCCAACAATTTGGACATCCGCGCCGACGTTTTTGGGCTTTTCCCTGGCCGCCGGACTGGTTCTGGGACTTAATCCGCCGGAAAAATCCATTCTTTAATCAACAAACAATGAACAGATGTCAAATAGAATCGAGGCGGAAAAGAAGTGATCTTTAAGCTCGATAGCTATAGCTTCATCTTCTAATAGACGCACTAACCTTTAAAGATCATCAATTCAAGCAAACCTCGAGGATTAATCGCACGAAAAAAACACCCAAATGTGACCTGGATCCGGTAATTCCGGTAAAACGGGAAAGGTATATTATAGGAAGTTTAAACGGCGGGCCAAGAATCAGAGAAGGCGTGAGAGGCGTCTATAGATGGTGGGTACCATGTGGGGTCGGAAGGTGAATCACGGGGAACAGCCGGCGAGGGATGGAGTCATCTCGTGGTGAAAGCTCAAGAAGCTTCGCACCAGAGTGAATTTGGGAAAATGATTTTTTAAATTGAATCCGAAATACGGAGTAATAACTAGTTAAAAATGAATTATATGGGAATTTTATTTTTGGTATAAGTAAAACACTAAAAAAAATCAAAATAAAAAGTTTATGTTTTTAATACTCCGTATCAAAATAGGATTACTATACACAGGTAATTTGACACTGAATATTGATTTTTAGTGTTTTTTAGTATAATGTTTACATCTAACTTTTTTTAAAATATAAATATGAAACTCATATTTTAGTACTGGAGTATTTTTTTATATAGTATTCATAATTTATTTATTTTGTTTATTCTAATTTGATACGGAGTATATCATAACTTGATAGCTATATCTTAACACCAAGTCAATTATACTTTACATTAAATTTATATTATAATTAAATTTGTTTTTCATAATTTATGAACAAAGTTTACCTAAAAGTCAAACTAAGACAAATAAATTAGGACGACGAGGGTATTTAATTTCAAATCCGCGATCTGTTTATTTGGGCAAGAAAAGTTTTCTTCAAACTTTTTCTAATTTTTTAAAGTTTTTTCTAACTTCTTTCGGTTTCTTCAAATTTTTTCAAATTTTTTTGAACAATAACAAAAAAAAGTTTTTACATATGACGAATATACAATAAAATCATATATCTAAATGTGCCACCTCACACGAGGACAGAGATGAATTCTTATTTTATCCAAAATTTGTTTTTTTGAGTATATATTTGGATAAATATTTAATTGTGTGATTTTATTAACATTTATTTTTTCCCAATATTTTCTACTTTCTTATAGTTTTTTCTAATTTAATTTCATTTTTTTCTAATTCTTTGTATTTTCTTCCGATGTATTTTAACATTCAATTCTGTTTCTACAACTAAAATGAACAAAGGCTTAGACCATGTTCTTTTCAACTGATCTGATTGATCCAATCTGATTGGATGATGTTCTGATTTAAACTGCATGTAGTTACATTTATAGTTATTTCTGATATGATCCAATTTCAATAAGAACAAGTAATAAGAAAAAAGAATAAATCGAGAAAATATGGCCTTAATCACTCAATTATGGTAATTCTTTAAAAAATTATGGAATATGTGTAAATTCCCCCTCCGTCCAACAATAAATTTCTGTTATGGGGATTGATTTTTATTCATTTTGTTAGCTTATTTTCGTGTTTGATCTATCTGATAAAATAATATAATAATGTCACCTCTATTTTTGTAGATCTTTTTATGTAGTTTTTTTAAATATGTATTTCCTCCGTCCAAAATATCCACAACATTTGCTTTTTCAGCAGTCGCGAGAACTTTTGTTTATTTCTACGTTTTCATTGGTTATTTGATAAAATAAAATATTCTTGACACCTATTATTTCGAAAATTTGTTTAAGTAGTATTTTGATATGTAAATTTTATTTTTTATTTCCATACCAATATGTAAATAAAATGAATTGAAAGAACTTGATATTTTACCTCGGGAATACAAGTGTGGCAAATTTTATTTTTTATTTCCATACCAATAGTTTTTATTTTTAAATTATATACTATTGTTATATAAAATGATTTAAAAATAATTTCAATCAAATATCGTAACGCGCAACAAAAATTTTATTTGTGGAAGGAGGAAAGGGTTGGGTTGGAAGAACCGAAAACCGAATCAAAATCGATTGAATTGTGCCAAAAATAAATCGAACCGAAAGAACAAAAACAGAATGCAAAAAACCAAACCGGTCTTTTTCCAAGCTGTTCCGTTTTCAGTTTTGGACTATGAAAACCGAATCGAAAAAAACGAAATATGTAAATTACAACCAAAAGTTCCATTATGTGGAAAAAAATTAATCATTTTTGTTGTGCTAGGTCTCCATTTTTGTAGATTTAATTGTTTAATTTGTTTTGTTTTTGCATATTTAATTATTTAATTTTTTTAAGTTTAATTGTTGTTGTTATGGTAAGCCTTCTTTTTTCCTCAATTTATGTTTGAATGTTAAAAATAAAATGAAACGGTGCTCCATATAAAATTCTAAATTGCTTCGCTTTTTTATATACACAATTTTGAAAATGAAAGTTGAAGTTTGGAAATACGGAGTAATTTTTAAAACTTTAACTACAAGTTGACTTGACTTATTGAACTTTTATTTTTTATTATGAATAATTATGAGATTAAGTTGATTGTTTTAAAGGTGATCAGTATATACTCTATGAGCTTCCCTAATTTGAGGTTGCAATTCTAGTGTTTGGGTAAATACTTGCAAGTGTTATATGTTTGAAAAAATATTCTTTTAGAAACCGAATAACTAAAAAAAACTGAGAATCGAGCCGAAAAACCAGTCGTTCACTAATTTTTGAGAAAATCGAATCGAATCAAACCGCCAAATTAGTTTCCGTTCCGTCTTTGGTTTTAGGAAAAAATCGAATCGAAAAAACTGAACTCAGGAGAGAGTACATCTCTTTCATTTGCCAAACACGACATACGCGTTGTACTTTTTTTTACTCATATTATTTGTTTATTCGTAATTGGTACGGAGTCGGTGTTTTTAAAATAGAATATGGTGGGGGGCAAAATCGCCATTAAAAAGTCTAGTCGTCTTCTTCAAAAAGAAAGAAAATAAAAACTTGACCAGTCTCTCTTGGATCGATCAAATCCCAAAACCAGAGACCCTAAGCCCCAAAAATCCAGCTTTCAGAAGCAACGCCGCCGCCGCCGCCGCCGCCGCCGCCGCCGCCGCCGCCGTCCATGGCCGATCTTCTTCCCCACTCTCACGCCCTCACCTTCTGCGGAGTCCTATCAGAGTCCAGGCGCATAATCAACGCCCACTCCCGCCATTTCCTAGCCCTATCCGTCTTCTTCCTCCTGCCCCTCTCCTTCTCCCTCATCATCTACCCCACTCTCCACTCCGCTCTCTGCCGCCCGGACTCCATCTCCTTCTACGCCAGCAGATTCCTCCAATCCGACCCGCCCCGAACCCGCCCCGACCCGGATGGCGATTCCCCGGTCTTCTTCATCCTGCCCCTCGTCTACGCCCTGTTCGGTTTCCTCGTTCACCTGTTCGCCGTGACCGCGATCTCCTACAGCACGTTCCACGGCTTCTACGGTAGACCCGTGAAACTCGTGTCTTCTTTCAAATCACTCTTGTTCTCTTTCTTGCCCATGATTTCCACCTTCCTAGTCTCCAAACTCGTCCTTTTTTCAATCGCTTTCCTCTTCTCTCTTCTATGGCTGTCTGCTTTAAAAGGGCTCGAATTGGCAGGAATCGAAGTGGATTACGACTCGAATTACTTCTATGCCGTGGCCATCGTCTCCGCAGCTCTGGTTGGAGCTGTAATGCTATGGCTGCAAGTCACCTGGGTTCTTGCTCCAGTGACAGTGGTGGTTGAATCAAGATGGGGGTTCGGGCCGCTGATGAGAAGCGCAAATTTGGTGAAGGGAATGAAAGGGGTAGCATTGTCACTGTTGCTGTTCTTCAACCTCGCGATCTGGTTCCTGGTTGGCAGTTGCGCGACAATTTTGCTCCACGTTGGGGTTGCCCGCGGATCGTGGGGCTGGGCAGTCATATTACAGGTGGTGATCAGTGCTGGTCTTGCCACAGTCCTCATGCTTCAGGGCATTGCTGCAACTGTGGTGCTGTTCATGTACTGCAAAGCATTTCATGGGGAGCTTCCGTTTGAGATTGCCGAGGAATTTGCAGGGGACTACGTGAGCTTGCCTTTCGACGAGAAGAAGCTTCCCTATGTTGTTTATGTCACTTGAGGTTAGTAGGACTTGTCTTTCTTGCCATGTTAGCTTGCTTCATTAGATATGGAGGTGTTTTGTTTCAATGTTTGTGTGTTAATTATACATGTAATGTCATGTGAAAAGGTATTCTTAAAAACTTTTCGACGAAAACGCAATTGACGTTGTATCTAGGTTGTTGCATGTTTAATACTAGTAGAAAGTTAGGAGTTATAATAATGCCATAATGGAATAAGAAATGTGTGTTGTTGTCTTGTTTATCATCTGTTATAGCTTGGGAATCGTTTGTTCTTGCTTATGTTTGGTTTGATCACTGTCCCTTGATCTTCACCTTCCCGGAAGGATTGCTTTTAGTTTTTGGAATAGGGATTTGAAAGGCGATGTCGTTCTTATGACTCGCAAGTGTTATAATAAAAAATCTCCCAGTTTTGGTCCGTGGTATGGCTTTCATTAATATGGGAAGTTTGCCTGTTTTGCTTTGATTTTCAAATAATTTGAATCTTCATGGCATGGTCGGTTATCGTGTATCCTACAATCTAAGGGTAACTAGCAATTTTTTTTGGTGAGTTTCGAGTTTCTAGGGGTCATTATCATCACCATTTACCTCCTTAGATATAAGAGCTTATGGGGTCTTCACCATTTGCTATGCAATTGTTGTGGTTTGGACAGTCACCCAAAAACGTTGCCGATCATAAGTTAAAGGTCGTATTCTATATTGCCATGCCTCGAAAAATCTCCCTCGCCTTAATCATTTGTCTCCCGTAATGACACGAGTCCAGCTTGCAGATATAGTCCCAAAAGGGGAATGAGATTTAATGTATCTGATATGTATCCATTTCATCCAAAGGGGATCTTTATCTTAGCAATATCCCAATTTAACTCCATTTTAAACCCATGCCCCCACTCTTTTTTGGAGAACAGATAACCTCTCATTGCACCAGAGGGGTTTTCACAAGGATGAGCCCCATCCCCTCAGACCCGGTCGGACGGTCACTGAAAGAAGATAAATTGTACATTTCTAATCTCTAGGTCAAGTCAAATGCGGTTTTTTGCGAGACATGAGTAACTAAGAACATGCTGTGGAAGATTTTTTTGGGACGCTAGGGTATTTCAATATTAATGTACACTTTTCAATTAACCAGCTCATATTCGATAAAGGTCATGTTTGAATGATGACTATTTGTGTCAGCTGTTTTAACTAACTTTTGAGTAACTGATAAGTTTAGTTTGTTTGAACACTTAGATGTGTTGATCGATTTTACTGACTAGATGTGTTAAAAAATACGAGTATTTCATAAAAATTAACTTGTTGCAACTTGCAACTAGATATAAGTTACAAAACTTATAACCATGATTTAATTTTTAAAAATACAGTTAATTCTAATACGGAATGTGTGTTGTAAATCAATTGAATGTTTTGGAATATATCTGACATAATATGTGAAGAAATGAGCGCATCTTTTTTTTTTTGATTTTATAGAGGTTCTGATTTCATTTTAAGTATGTAATTTTTATTTTTTGATCTAATTACACTAATCAAATAAATTAAGTTGACTATATTTAATCAAACATAATAAATTTTTATGTACAGACGAAAGGAGTATTATTTCATTTTGAACATTAATAACTCTATTATAATGTAATATTTGTTCATACATTTTTAACCTATTAATCACGTAGATTTATTACCCCTACTGGGTACTGAACCTGTGGCCTCTTATATGCGAGAGTTCCTATCATACTGCTGAACTACAAGATTTTTGGCTGTGTATTGAATGAGTAGTTCTAGACTAAAAGGACTATTCCTCATATCAAATTACACTCTTTCTTTCAAAAAAATTTTGTTTATATGCATATTTTCATTAATCATTCAGAAAAATAAAATATTTCTCACACTCCATTTTATAAAGCCTTTGAAGTAGTTTTATATACATAATGGGAGTTAAACTGCACATATAATACTCTAAAAAAGAATCTATTTTTAGAACAACCAAAAAAGGAAAACAAACAATATAAAATGGAACAGAGGAAGTACCAATCATGCTAATGTACAATGCCAAAAAATATTATAAAGTATCCATATACAGTGTTACATTATGACTGCGTAGATTCTTATTTTAAAAATAAAAACATGGAGCTTTGATTTTGGTATTTTTTTATGTTTTACTCCTATTTAGAGTAATCCTCCTATATACAATGCTAGGTGGATTTCTCCGTGAACAGTATTCCCGCCTAAACTAGGTGGACCTTGCTGCAGTTTTGGGCCTGCATTGGTTGACGGAATGGGCCTGCATTGGTATACGAAAATGGCCTGCTTTGGTGTCTATTCGAATCTCCTTTTTTGTTTTATGTCCACTCATTACAATCTTTCATAAAGTTACATTGATAACATAAATTTGGTGGCTCCATAAAGGTGGTTTTAAAAATAACTTACTTTGTGTCAATTCAATCTATTTTAAAGATTTTTAAAATCCTCCTATACACAATGATAAGAGGAGCGGCGTGCAAAGTACTTGAGTGTGCTTCATTGAAATTCAAATTAAAAAATAGATGTTGTGTGGCTCAATACTTTCTTTTCCTAAAAAGACGTGATTTACTTTATGTCAATTTATGGATTCTAGAAATCTTTTATTGGGACATGTGTTTTATACTTTACAGCCTATATGTGTACTTATTCACTAAAAACTCATTGTTAAGCGTGTAAAGTGGATTTCCAAATCTTTTAATTAATGTGCCAACCAACTCTTTCATGTAGTATAAATAAAATGCAAATCCAATACAACACAACTCATTCCCTGCAGAATGAGTACTAAACGACGGTTGAGGTACTGAGGAGGTGTTATTTTTGCATTTCTCAAAATGTATGGCTTACTAAAGAATTACAATGTCAAGTCATTAATTTTATTTTTGGGATTTTTTAAGGAGTGGTGAGCATAAATATGGTCAGAACCAACCTTTATTTTTCAGAATAATCTTTAATATTGCATCAAATATTAAAAATAGGTCAGAAAGACTGCATACATCAATGTTTCAAGCAAAGCAGTTTCGTAGTGTTGCAGTGAAGAAAATTTAAAATCTTGATTCCAAATATGATTAAATGGCTTTGGCAATGATTAAGAGT